AGTGTAGATGTACACATTCCAGCAAATGTATTTGCAATTATTATGTGGTCAATGCTTTGTGATATAAATGTACTTTTTCAATGTATACTTTCACTTTTAAAATGCCTGTTTTGTGCTTTACAATAAATGATATGAAACCTCCTGTGTCGGTAAGTTGGATATGTGGGTATTTAAAGGATTCATAATTTCTTAGCAATGATAAATTAAGAGACATATACACAAATATGTAAGCTTTCCCCGTGAAATATTGAGTTTTTAAACACTGGCATGTTTTTTCCCCCTTGCAGTATAGTAGTAGATTGGAGGATCTTTTCCATTTATTATATTTGGGTGTTTCAGCACAAGTAATCCTGATATCTTCATTTTTTTCCGTCTGTTTGATTAAAAACTGCATGTGTGTACAATGATCTTTTGGCATACTTCCATTGCATTAACAGTGAAATTTCCTTTTATACATGACCACTGTTTCAGACCTGTACTGCTGCTATAACAGTTAACCTTTCTGTTCTTAATTTGATAATTACTTGATTTCCAAGACTGTTTCAGCATAACTAATTTTAAACAGTTTTCGGATAGTGAATATGAGTAGTCTAATAAGAACAGTTTTTCATGTTGAAGCAACTCTTTTGATGTATACAATATTAGTGTGTTTCTTTCTAAATTTAGGGTAGAAAAGTGAATAGTATGCAAAAAGTGTAGCTACATTGCATCTGCCATTGAAAACATTATTGGGGTATGGAAATGTTCAAGCTTTTTTCTTTTTTTTTTTTTTTTCTTTTTGCAGTATAGATAAGCTTTGTTTTGTAAATGCACAAGTCCAGTCATTGAATCAACTTAATTTTTTATGTACTTGAAATCATTTTATTACTCTATAACACTCATGCTGAAGTTCTGATATTTTGTTGAAATCCATTGTTTTACTCTTTGCATATTTGTTGGCTCTTTGCATATTAATATATTAGACTACATGCAAATACAGTCTGTCTTGCCATTGTCTGTTGAAGTGCAGGTTTGATCCAGCCAGTATAGAACTAGCTCTGTAGGGGTGAGGAGGACTGTGCTGTGTATCATCCTTGATTGTGTTCCTTCAAGGAGCATTGCACTGTAAGTACATCAGAATGACAAATTGATGAACTGCAACAGTATCTTTTTGTCAATGTTCCACATAATGTAAATGCCATACTTTGTGTGAATATTATGTTGGAATACAGTGCTGATATCTTGGAAAACCATAACTGCTTCTTAATTTAACATAGAATAATACATAGGTCTGTATTTTTTTTTTAAGTGAGCTTAATGGGTAAGTATTTTTGATATGCTTTAGCTATAGCTAAAGAAAACTGATCTTTAACAAAGTTGATAGTATTACTCATTGGTGCTCCTAAAATATGTTGTTTTTCAGTGTAAAATATGCATATCTTATATATTAATATGAAAGACTTGAAATGTGTCAGACAGAAGTGATTTTCAGTTTGCAAATATTAAGTAATGTAGCAGTTTTAACACCATTTCATAAATATATGTTAGTTCTTTCATTGGTGGGGAGCACCATTTGTTGTTCTGAATATACTATAAAGGAAGATGTACAAGGACATAAATGTTGAGATAACCTGTAGGGTAGAAAATAGTAGTACAGTTCATTGTAGATATTTTGAAATGTTTTGATTGTTTTATAGAACCTAGAGTGACTTCCCTTATTACCCTTTTTTAGCTATGGATATGTAGTAGTAGTTTGAACTTTACTAGTTAAGGAGTTAGTTATCTGTTATCTTTAAGAGTAGGGTATTGACATGAACAATTTCAGTATTTTGCATGATACTGTTTTATAGATGACCTTTTAGGAAAGTGGTGCATTTATTAATTAAACTGAAGAAATAGTTCAGTTGGATTCAGTATCATAACTCACAAATTGGAGGCTGTTGATTTTGATTCATTTAAGGTTTAAAATCTTTATTAATTGCAAACAGTGCAATTATTTATACTTCACAGTGCCTTCCCAGACCTTCCACCTTAGGTTCTGCTGCAAAAAGCAACAGGTAAGCACAACCTAAGGACATATATAAATAAATATTTCAGTACATTAATGTTGTCCCTGTGAGGTTTTTGTGGTTGTGTATTCAAAAGCAATCTGCTACTGCTTCCCCAAAATGTATTTTGTTATTTATGCTACCATTTCAGTGGAAAGTCTGTAAGTTGTTCAAACAACTGTTTACATTTCTGGGTAATGTTTTTTACTTTAATTTTTTTATTAAAACAAGAAGAAAGAAATGATGAGTAGATTGCTGCTGTAACTGAACTACATCCAAACTTTTTGTAATCTTTTCCCAAATATAGAAGAATTGTTAAAATTCAAGGATAATTACATAGTTTTCAAGATTTAGGAAATCACTTGGTCAGAAACTTCAACAGCCTTCACAATCTGTTTATGATTGACAGGACATTTTCTTTGCCCTCCAAAGCTATGGAGTCTTTATTTTTTTCTTATTCTTGAACTATAGTAATTCAGTAAGGACATTATGGGTGAGAGTTTTATTACAACTTTTTTTTAGACAATTCAGTTTTCATAACTTTTATATACACTGAAAAAGGAAAAAATTGTAAGGAATACTGGCAGTATGTTTTGATAAAAGGCATGTGCATCAGTGAAATGTTAACTGTATAGCAAATAACCTTTCATAATCTGTATAGCAACCAATATTTTTCTGATTTATAATACTTTAATAACTGACGCTGCACTTACTTAATTTTTTGCCAGTTTAAAATGTTTGTGTGTTCTTATAGATGATTTTAACTGGTACATATTTTGAGTTAAGATGAATGTATTAGAGCAGCATCGTATCAGTTTTGTTTATTCAATTTCTAAAATGTGCTGATCCTTTTAAAACTCCTGCTTATCTCTGCAACAAAGAAAAATATTCAAAAATACTGCCTTCATTTTCACACACAGTGCTGAAGATGCTGCAAGCACCAAATCATAGCTCATAAAATCAGGTCCTGAGATAGTTACCCATAAAGAGGAATCCTTTGAGTGTATGCCATTGGTGAGCCGATGAGCATGGACCGTAGAAGGGCTCAATGTAGAAGGTAAAATTGGCAAATCATAATTGAGAAATATGAAATGTATTCCCATACATAATATGGTATAGGGTGTAATGTACCTGCTTTTTTCATTTTAAAGTGCTATTCACTTGATCTTTAATGTTCCATGAACTGTTAAATTTCATAAGTTATGTAGTTACTGCACCACATTTATGTGTGTTTATGTGTGTTTTAAGTCAATGATAGGTATGTTAAGATTGATAATATAAAAGGAGCTCTTTGAACTTTAAGAGCCTGTCAAGTTTTGGTTAGTTGTAGTTTGCATTTTTATAAAAGAAAATATAAATGAATGCTAATAGATATTGGAGCATTGTTTCTATCTCACGAGAATTTTTTTATTCATTACCATAAGCCTTCACTGATACTGCAAGCATTTTTTAAATGGCGCTAATCTTAACCTTGAAATAAATGGAAAGCAGAAAAGGTGAGCCAGTTTATTTGAATGCAATGGATGTTAGGAGTGGTAGAAACAATGTTTAGATTGAAATTGAACGGATTTATTTTATTTAGCACTTAAAAAACTTGACAACGTGTTTTGTTTTTTTAAGATAGTATGGTGATACTTGGAATTCTTATGGTTTGATGTTTCTTTTAGAAATGAGAAGTATACTTTTATTTTTAATTAATGAAAATGTTTTTTTAATATTAAAACTAATGACTTAATACTAGTTGTTTATAAACATTGTAAAATATATCCTTAGACAAATACCCTGGTAGTTAATTCATAAGAGTGGGTTTGGGTAGGAGTAGCAGAGTACCTTAAGAGGGAAATAGGAATATGTTCAGAAGTGATAACATTTCATTTGTTTGAATATTCTGCCAGTTCTACCTGCCAAGTTATCTTTTGTCTAGAATAAGGATGTAGAAATTACTAATCAATGAAGATCTTATTTTTATTTTCTGAAAATTCTGCCTCATTTTAAAATGTATTTTAACAATACTTAAAGATAATTTTGACTCTGAAAATAACCTTATTTTTTGTTTAGTCACTTGAGTTTTCTTGCCACAGTATAAACTTCTGAGGGATTTTTTAAATTGGTGCTTTTAAGAAGCAAATAAATCCCAGGGTTTTATTTTCTTCAGTAATACCCCTATAGAAACTCTTAAATGTATTTGCGCATATATATATATTTTTTCTTATGCATGCTCGATGCATTTTCGTCCTGAGAAAAGTGTTCTCTACAGAAACTACCCGTGTGTAAAAAGAAGATTGGCTTAAAATGGCTACTGTGATGGGAACAGTGTCTTAGGGAGATGCAGCTTGGACTTGAGGTAAATTGAATACTTTACAAACTGTGGTTGAGAGTTTGCTTTAATGACATTGTATGTAAAAGGGCACATGATTGCTGTAATTTTGTATTGATTATGGTTTCCTCAATAAAAAAATGTACGTTGATGATTATAAGGCAGTGTTTTGTCTGTTTTTTAAAATACTGAAAGGCTTTTTTTAATACAGAAGTTACTTTATTATGGATTTACATTGTAAAATAAAATTGTCTTCCAGAAAATTAAAATATAAAACAACTTGATAATAGAACATGGTAGCTAATTATTTACAAACTCATTTTAAAGACCAGAATTTAAAATTAAAGATTATGCCATTTTTTCTGAAATCTCTTAGATTCTTAAATCCTCTTAGATCTTGAAATTTTTGATTATGTTGAAAGTGTTTTCTGCTGCATGAACTATTAATGCAGAGTTTTCTCATTAAAATACAATTTGTTCAGGCAAAGTCACAACATAAATTTTCTTTGTAAGCTTGCATGTATATTACACATATTTGAAAAGTACATGTTTAATATTCTCAACACTCAGAACTCTGTAGGCAGTGGTTTCCATCAAATTTTCTCTGGCAGTTTCTTAAAAGTCTTATTTAGATTTTATTTTGTTTAGTTTTTTCTTCCATGTTCCATCTTTCCCATAAAAGGAATGACACCCCTCCGCCCTCATATATCTGCTTCAGAAAGACTTGGAGACTACAACAACCAAAATGATGTACTACTAAGGAAAAAAGCCCACTCAAATTGATAGGTTCCAAATTCATTAAGTCTCAGCTATTTCAGACTAATTTTAGGTGTAAATAGCTCATAAATGTCATTCTTCCATGCAAAATAATGTGTTCTTTTTATGATTTTTTTAATATAACTGCTTTAAACTTACGGGAAATATACAGCCTTTGTAATAGGTTCTGATAGAATAATTGAGTAAATTTCCCACTTTCCCCCTTAAATACACATTAGCTTCTACTGCATAATATGGCGATGAATCAGGTGCTCATTTGGAAAGGAAGAAGGTATTCTTTAGATGAGCTTGTGTTTTGAAGACTGTTATGAAAAGGAATAAAATAGTGGCACTTCTGGTTTCCTTTTTTTGGCCCCGCCACAGAAAGATGGATGTAGTAAGAAAGTCGGAGAAAGAGAGAGAAAATTCCAGGGAGAGGGAAGGGAACCCTAGTAGTCGTCAGCTAAAAAAGAGAAGAAGAAAAGTGATTTTTTTTTTTTTAAAGAAAAAAATTTTAAATAGAATAACAGTTCTACATGAAAAAAGTGATTAATTCTTACTTTCAATGGTAAGAATACAGGTACTAGCTGCGGACCCTTTATTGTTGACCGCTTTACACATATACTCTCCTTCATCTTCTGGGAAAGTTTCTGGTAAATAAAGGCAGTAAGTTTCTCCTCTTTCAATATATTGATAGTCTTCTCCATCCTGCAATATTTCTCCTTCAAACCACCATGTAATTTCTGGTTTGGGTTCTCCTGTTACTTTAACAGTAAATCTAACTGGCTCACTGTCTACAACTGATGTATTTTTTAGAGGCTTCTTGAACCATGGAGCTCCTGATCTGGTTTGCTCTTCATCTTCAATAGTGGTGCCATTCATGATGCTACCCTCTTCTTCTTCCTCCTCTTCTCTTTTCTAAATTAAAATAAATACATTCAAGTTGGCATTTATACTATAGCATTTTCAGGACAGTGGTTTAGTCATAGAATTTTGGAGGCAAATGTGTTTTGTTCTTTTGCAAAGTAAAGAACATGTAAGTATGCTTAGTGCCAAGTGTATTTTACCAAACATTCCATGACTTGAAAGTTATTAAAATGTTTTTTAATCCTTCATATAAAACTTCATGATTTTTAAGAGAGCATCTTTGGAAAATAAAGGATATGTAAGCCTGGTACCTTTTGCAGTGCCGCATCAATTTCCTTTTGCTCAAATTGCATGCGTAGCAACTTTTGTTGTTCAATTCTTCTTTGTTCTTCTTCCTCTCTTGCCTTAGCCATTCGTTCAAATCTAGCTTTCATATTCACTTTATGAGTAAATGGAGCCTCACTTTTTTTTGCAGGCTTCATATCAACATCTTCTTCCTTAATGAAAGTGGGCCAGGAATAAGAATTGCTTGTTTTCTAAAAACCAACACGAACTAAAGCGTTAATAGCTCTAAAGGTGTCATTTATAGGCACAAAATAATTTACGTGTTTGGTATGCATATTTGTGCTACAATGCAGACATGGAGATTTTCACTATCCTCCAATTTGGGAAAGATGAAGGTTTTGTGAAACATTCTCTTTAACAATTGGAATCCTTTTTTCCCAATGTAAAGATAACACAGTATCACAAGTCCCAGTGTATTTGTTTGCCCAACCAACTCTCAGTGCTTGCTGATAGTACTGAATAACAGAAAAGGGTGGGGATACTATGCATTGTAACGATTGTTAAAATACTCCCTTTCTTCTCACAAGAGTTTCCATATCACTCTTCACCCTACTACATCATACAGAAAATGCTATTTCTGTTTTGTCATTTCCCACTTAATGATTTTCTTCCTCATCCTTCTTAGTAACTGTCTTTGAGATGAATTCCATCCAACAAATTTATTGATGGTCAAATGACAGAGAAGAGTGTTTGCAGGTAGAATAAATGGGAAGACAACTGTCAAAAGAGGCAATGGCTCGAACTTGGGGAAATCATTGAGGTAAAGTATGGCTGTGAGTCATCTATTTAGGGGTGAAAGTTGGGAGCCATGGAAATAATTAACGGAGTAATTTAAGAGCAGTTTCAACTGTCAAATTGTGTTGAATCTTTATATAAAACCAGTTTGGTGCTAATGAGGTCACTGTTCTTTGAGAACAGTTAATTCGTGATTTCTAAAGTACTCTAGTTGTAGTTGACTCCTGGTTTCTCAGCTACTTAGGCTTTTGTGGGTCTGTCTGGAAATCTTACCATTTATATTTCACCGTACTATGAGGAAATTGCTTCAGGGTACCACATCCAACTAAATCAAGGGAATTTTGAAACAAGCTGTAAAATAATTGCCTATATAAGAAAAATCTTGGTTCATGGATGTTTTACATCAGTTTGAGGGTATTACACCTCAGTTCCAATGAATGTGGGAGTTGTTAGAGTAAGTTGGATAGTTGTTTTCTGCTTCTCCTGAATCAGATTTTTTATTTTATGTTGGAAAATCGTAGAACATCAGACACAACGAGTTACCAATGGGTGAATTCTATTTGTGCCATTATTTACCTTCAGGTGATAAACATAATGCCTGGCTACAGTTAGTGCTAATGAAATGTTGATATGATTTTTTTTATTATACTTAAAAGATAGGCTAGAAAGTACACGTTAAACAATGGTTTGCTTACTGCAGTTTTATCCCAACAGGTTTATCTGAGGCTTACATCAAAAAAAGGACCTCTTTGTTGACAGTATACAGTTAATTTTATTCTTTGCTTACCAAATGGAATCTTAAAGATAGGATATTTCAGCAGGTACGATAACTGCTATTCTGACAGAATCCCTCCCAGTTAATAACTAACTTGCCTTCTGGATTTTAGGATAAAAGTTTGTGCAAATTCATAACTGTTTAGCTATCTTAAACCTGCCTTTAGAAAATAAATTTGATAAGTAAAAGAATTCCTCATAAGCTAACTAGGAGAAAGCTTATGAACGGTCTTTCACTTGTTAAGTACAATTTTGCCTTTTCTTTAATTTCTGAAAAGCCAGGTTAAATATGTTTCTGGGAAATGAATCTACTAAGAGTCATGTTAAATGTAATGATCTTTGTTCTCTAGGTGCATTCTTAATATGGCATTGACTTCCCCAGCACATGAATATTAAAAGCAGCACAATTAGGTAGTAAATTTGAGATAAAAAGGAGCATAAGGAATCATGGAGCATAAGGAATCATAGAGTATACCTTACTGGAGTAGAGTATACCTTATTGGAAAATTTAACTAGAAAGTCACACTATAAGGCAATTAAGTGATTTAAGTACCAAATGAGTGATAACGGGTTAAGGGCTACAGGAGCTGGGATGGAATTCTTTGATTAGGGAAGGTTACATGAATGAGTTAGACCTTGAAAGATGTCTGGAATATAAACAGAAGACCTGTTGAACATTGACATTTTCTAAAGGAGGGAACTAGACATGGTCAGTTGGGAAGGGATGGTCCTACTCTGGAAGTTGATTGCACTCAATACCAAAATTATGCTAACACAAGTTTTTAAATGATATCTCAATGACCTTCTAGGGGGATATGATAAGAGGGATGTTAACATTCTTCACAGGAAACTCCATTCAGGACATCCTCAAGGGTTACAGATCAGCCGTGTCCTAATCTCATATCCTTTCATACAAAAGAGAGCCAGTAATAGCAATAAAACAAGAAGTGACCCACCTCATTTCTTGTATTCTTATCTTACCTACATTTTTGGAGGGCTAGCTATGTCTGCTCTGAGGTTTCACTGCTTTTAACAAAAAAAAAAGGAAGCAAGTGCATAATGACTGAACCTTTCTTTGCCTTCTGTGATACATTTATCTCTAAAGAATCAACTGATATTGTGGCCATCCATTCATTAAGTATTGGCGTTCTCCAGGGTTTTATCGTTCACCTTCAAACTATTCAACTCTTCAAAGATGGCTTTACTTCTGTACCTTCAAATACTATCTAAAAAAGTTACGGTCTATAGCTCCTGCCTCTCACCTGAGCTCAGCACTTAACGTTTCAGACTGCCTTTACCTCATCCAAATACAGCTCAGACTTCACATGTCCAAAACAAGTCATTCACTGCACCTCTCCAGACCTGAATTCTCTGTAGTATCATCGATTTTCCCCAGTAATCCTGAAATAATGTTGGGCTCGACAACCACCTCTCCATAAACAACCTGTTACCCAGTTTTGTTAAAGTTGGGTTCATTTTTCTCCTTTGATTCCAACTTCATGCCCTCGTGCCTGTCTTCCAGTTCATCCTCCATGATCCCAGAATTCTTTTATAAACAAACAAGCCTTTTATCACTCTGTCCTAAAACTTAAACTTTGTTCCCACATCATAGTCTCTGCAAGGTTAAAAAGGCCCTTCATCAGGTAGCCACAATCTACTTTCTCAACTTTTTATTCTATCACCCATTACTCTTATGAACCTTGCCTTTGAACCTATTTTCCACTCCCCAGATAAATTTTTACAACCTTTGTGTTGACTCACATTGTCCCTCCAATCTGGAATGCTTCCCCCCTTTAACTGCAACTTCTATTCAACCTTCACACTCAATTTAAATGTCATTTTCTCAGCCCTGTTAAACCTCCTAGGAATATTGACTGCACCCTAGTTGATCCCATAAACACATTAAATATACAACTCCTATTTTAGCACTTACAACAATTATATTGTTCTCATCTCATTAGGATGAGGGCCTCTTATATTCACTTTTATGTCCCCAAAACTTAACACAGGCCCCCAACATAGAAGATGTGAAAAACAGCAATGGTGTTTGCTTTTAGCAGTGACAAAATGGTTTATTTACAACTAGCCTAAGGCCTATGTCCTTAAGTTTTAGTGTATGTGGCACAAAGTTCAGATGCATATCCATTTGATTGATGGATATCTGAATGATTCACAGCATCTCCATTTGTCTAAAATAGCTTGTGAACTCTCTTCCTTCCAAACTCCTATATTCCCATAATATCTTATGTTCATGTATACCAGTCACTTTGATTAATTCCTCTCCCTCTCTTCCTCTCCACCATCATCCCCAAGTCTTGCCAGTTTTGTATCCTACATATTTATCTGTCCTCTCCATTCCAGCCCTAATTCAAATCCTCATCAGGCCCTCTCTGACCACCCTGTACAAAATAGTACCATATACTCTATTTCCTTTACCCTGCTTTGTTAATCTCTGTAGGTTTATTTACTAGCCAATAACTGTTTTCCACCCCACCACCTGTTAGATTCTAAACACTACATGAGCAAGGACTGCAGGTTTATTCACCAATGTAGTACCAGTGTCCAGAACAGTCCCTGGAGCTTAGTAGGCATTCAAATAATTTTTTAATGCGTGAATCTAAACCCATCTTGAGTTTCAGCATGATCTAGCTATAAAGATGCCTATTTGATAATATCACTCCGTTTTCACACTTCCTTCAATGCACTCCAATAAAAGTTCCTTAACATGGCATTTAAGACCTTCTATGGTCATCTCACCTGTGTTTGCATCTTCATTATCTTTTGCTGTTCTGGCACTCTGCTTGCCTCAATAATAGTGAATTGTTTATAGTCCGGAGAATTTGCACATAATCTCTTCATTCTCTCTTTTTTTCACGGTATCCTCTGAAGGCCCTCCCAACTTCCCACACCTGTTTTACTAGTTGAATATTTGATAAAATGCATTTTTAGAATAATATAGGTTAAATGCTGTTAAATATTATTAAATGGTAATTCTGGCAGAAAAAAATTTTACAGATCCTACTTAAATCAATATTCATAATGATGGAACTAGTCCTTAAGCTGGAAGGGACATTACAGGTCATCTAGTGATTGCATCTTTATTTTACATATGGAAGTACTTCAAATTCATGTCATCTGAATTCTGATTTAGGCTCTGCCATTGAATTATTGGTATGACTTTGAGCAGATTATATAGGCTTTATTGGCTTCATCTTTAAATAAGAAACTATAATAATCTCTGAATTATACAAAGAATAATCTCAAGTTTACCTCGAACAGACACTGGTTCTACTGATTCAAACTAAAACTAATGCCAGTAAATACTTCTGAACTTTTTTTGCCAGAGTGAGCCATTTGATGTTTACTATAGGCTTTAATTCTGATAAAAGTCATTTTGAAACAATGCTAGAGTGGGGAAATTTTTCAAAGTCTCTTAAGATCTTAGTGTGCTTTTGCTATTCCCAGATTATAATATACACCTAGGGTTAATTGTAAGTACCAAAATTTTGAAATGTCAATGTTATTTCTGTTGAGTTCATTATCATTACTGTACACCATAACTATGTTAAATATAGAATAGTATACCTCATGAAAGTTTTCTGCTTCTCGCTCTTTAATTTCAAGGTCAATCGCTCTTCTTCTTGCTCGTTCTTCTTCTATCTTTTTCTGTATTTCTTTTTCAGACAATTGTCCAATTTTTTCAAACTTGCTTTTTAGATTTTTAGCTTGAATAGAGCCACTCCTTCTCAATTTGATTAATTCTTCATATTCCCTGCTCAGTTCAAAGGTTTCATTTTCTTCCTCTTCCTTCAAAAAAATTAAGATTTTTATATATTAAATATCAGAAAATCAGTTTGTACAATAAACCATTCAAAAAGTGTTCACCATTTCTTATCTGAAGCCAAAAATAAAGGTTAAATAATCTCCTCCCTAAACGCAATACCTAAATGTACTAATTAAAAGTAATGCTACGGGGGCCAGCCTGGTGGCATAGTGGTTAAGTTCTCATGCTCTGCTTCAGCGGCCCAGGGTTCACAGGTTCCGATCCCGGGCACGGATCAACACACTGCTCACCAAGGCAGGCTGTGGTGGCGTCCCACATACAAAATAGAGGAAGACTGGTACAGATGTTAGCTCAAGGACAATCTTCCTCAAGAAAGAAGAGGAAGATTCACAACAGATGTTAGGTGAGGCCAGTCTTCCTCACACAAAAAAAGTAGTGCTACAAATTTAAGACTTAGATAATGTTTCATTTAAAATATTTCCTTAGGGGGGCCGGCCCCATGGCATAGCAGTTAAGTGTGCACATTCCGCTGCTGTGGAGGAAGACAGGCACAGATGTTAGCCCAGGACCAGTCTTCCTCAGCAAAAAGAGGAGGATTGGCATGGATGTTAGCTCAGGGCTGATCTTCCTCACAAAAAAAATAAATAAATAAAAAATATTTCCTTAGGGAATATGGCTCAAAACCTCATTTAAGATTCCATTATAACCTGCGAAAACTAAAATATGTATGTCAACATTAGCTTTTACTAGGAGTTGTAGGAAGATCTTTGTTTAGGGGAAGGTGAAGAAATGAAAGAGCACTGGGCTACGAGTCAGATACAAGTTCTAGTTCTGACTCTGATACTGTGTGGCCTTTTGCCTAGTCACTTAATCTTCTGGACATGATTTTTTCATCTCTATATAGAGCCAGAGTATCTCTAAAATTCCTCCTGTCTTTGATTTGATGATAGTCTAATAAAATTAAATATCACTCTTACTACTCAAGTTAACTGAATTAAGCATTTCTACAGATAGTCAGGTAAAATCCCTACATTTCGCTACATATCACTTGCAATGTCAATTTGATATTCTGCCAAGAAACATAGAAAAGGAGTCAACCAAAATTGGCCTCCTATTCTTTATACTATTTTATCTTGAATACTTTTTATTCAGGTTCCTTTTCCCTTGCCTTTTCGCAATCTATCATTACTAGTTCTTTGTATACTTCTTACACTAAACCCCAATCTCACTATATGGAGTGGTAAAATATTGCAATTATTCCTGCCATACTTTTCCTGGAGAAGACCTAGAGTTCCAGGCAGAGGGAAAAAAAAATTGAGGGGCCGGCCCTATGGCTTAGCGGTTAAGTGCGCGCGCTCCACTACTGGTGGCCCGGGGTTCAGATCCCGGGCGCGCACCGATGCACCGCTTCTCCGGCCATGCTGAGGCCGCGTCCCACATGCAGCGGCTGGAAGGATGTGCAACTATGACGTACAACTATCTACTGGGGCTTCGGGGGGAAAAAAAAAAGGAGGAGGATTGGCAATAGATGTTAGCTCAGAGCCCGTTTTCCTCAGCAAAAAGAGGAGGATTAGCATGGATGTTAGCTCAGGGCTGATCTTCCACACACACACACACAAAAAATTGAGGTGAGGGGGAGTCACAGTGGATATGACATGAGGCTTAATTTCTTGGTTCAGCCAAGAGGAAAAAAAGAAAACATTCCTTTATACTACCTCCACTTTTTGGTCTATGTGGCAACTCCTAAAATACCAGAAATTAACATATTTATGATATATCACAATGGTTCCCAAATCATTCTTATCCAAATCTATGACTGAGCTAATTGGCTAGAGTCTAGGTGATCTTGGGATTGGCGTGCTACTTGCTTGAAAATGCCCATAGTGCAGTAAGTCACTCAATAGCACTAGAATGTCTGACAGTTACATACTGCCATATATTAGTTAGATTACATCTCAACAGTATACTAAAATATATTCTAATTTAGAGGTTAGTTTTTCTAGACAGACAATTCATTTTCAGCTTCCTTTATAAAATAAATGCTATTACATTTTTTTTGAGGCCAGACCTTGAAATATTTTCCTACAGCACATTCATGATATTATTACCTATATATTTATACAGTATTTACAGTCTCGGTCAGCTGGGGCAAGGAAGTAAATATCCCCACAGGCCCACTGCCCCAACCCATGAAAAAGAGGCAACTTCTAAGAGACTGTAACCTCTGCTTAGGAACCCACTCAGTTCCTAGATCAGGAGTTGGTGAGAGGCCCCCACAAGTGGCCTGTCAAACATGCCATGTCACTGCCAGTCCAAGCTGGAACAGCCACTGCTCGCTTGGCCCCAAGTCACAGGACTGTGCGCTGATCCCCCACCCTGCTTATGTTCCTGCCAGGCCCCAGCCAGAGGCCCAGGGTGATGGTGGGATGCTGGTCCCCTCCCTCTCCCTCCCCTCTCCTGCCTACACAACTGGTTGGCCATCCAGATAGAGGGCAGCAGCGTCCAAGGGCGGGAAGAAGGTTAGACAGGGCCTTGGGACATCAGCAGGTAGAAAAGGATTGCTGAGAACCCACCATGGGGAAGCAGGGAGACAGCAGGAGGTGAGCCAAGGCTCCAAGACTCTAGTGCATGCTCCATTGTCCAATCAGCTTTCACTTACAACACACAATTTAAAGATAAAATTATTAAAAATTTCAAAATGGCAACCTCAGCATTAAACCCTAAGCGCAGCCTGAGCATGGGATCTTGTGAGGGCAAAAGTTGTATGTCCATGAAGCTGGCCCTATACAGTCTGTATTTATGTGTGTGTATGTGTATTTAATTCATTTCAATACTAGAGAACTCATACTAAAATATTTAACAGCATCAAAATTATATCTGAGAATAATTTAGTAAAATAAATTGATTCAAAGACTTGCCAAACTGCTGTTCCTATTACTATCCATGGCACTCCTTTAGTTTTATCTTATTTGGGTTAAATTTATCAGGTTAATTGTTTGTTTCAAGGAAAATAAGTATAAATGGGTATATTAAGTACTCTAGAACAACAGTTCTGAATGTAAACACACACAAATGTGAGGTATATAGAAGAAATATCTACTTAAGGTAATATAGTAGTATCTCAGTCGCTTGCAATCTTACATATTTTTTAAACTAGCAAGGAAGGAGTAGAGTTATAGCAGGCTAGAAAGTGCACATAACTATGCTTAAACTTGTACCAAGTGCGTCATAGGAGTATGTTGAGTATCCTTTATGTGAATAATAATACTTAGAAAGTTATTGTAAGGTAATACATGTAAAATACTTAGGTTAATAAATATATGTGGAATATAAAGGGATATTTCTTAAAATCTTACCTCTCCCATTTCTTGTCTCAGTTGTTCAAATTCCTGTTTTTCCATCTCTAGCTTATGCTTCCGTTCCTCCTCTGTTCGTCGTTTTTCTTCTTCCATTTTTTGTTTTAATAATTCTTCAAAATTAATTTCCAGTTTTCCAGGTGTAAGAGATTCTTGAGAGATTGTTTTATACATCTCTGGGGAGTCATCATCTACTACCTATTTAAAATAATTCTTTTATCACTCTTGCCAGAATTACCCATACTAAAAAGGGAATGTCTTGTAGAAACTGTGATTACTTGGGTAGAAAAGTTTCACATTGAATTAAAAACCAGGAGACCTAAATTCTAAAGTATAAAACAATAAACAAGGGAAGAGTTATTAGAAAATATAAGATTAAGGTATTTTGTGGTTACAGAGAAATGGCGACCATCTGTTCTCCGTTCCAATGAACACAAAGAAATACTGTGACTTTATACTATGAGTAATTAGAATTAGACATTAAGATTTCCTAATATTGAGAACACTTTTTAATTAGATTAAAATGAATCTCCATTCTGACAATTAAAATAGAGCATTTCAGTTAAATCATGATTTTGTCTGAATGAATTAGATAACCCATCATGATCCCTTCATAATCAGGCAAAAATCACTCTTAGTGCCATGCTTTTATTATACTGATTTATTTACTGTCAGGATAATTAAAAATAAATAATAATAGTTAATACTTAGAGCTTCCAGGTACAATTCTAAGCACTTTACATGTATTGACTTATTTAATCCTGTAACCCTATTATTAATATATCCTCATTTTATAGATGAGGAAAATGAGGCAAAGAAAAGTAACTTGTCCAAAGTCAACACAAATACTAGTGACAAAGGTGGGATTCAAAACTTCAAAAGTCTTTCTAGTAAAATTATAAATAATGATTTAGTAATTTTAGTAATTTTATGAATTACATGTCTAACTGCCATTTAGTTGTGACCTTGGACAAGTTACCCAGCTTCTCCAAGTCTGAGTTTCCTTATCTGTGACAACTTTAGTAGAGTTGTCATGAGAGTTAAATAAAGTTTGCGAGCACTTAGCAGTGTGCCTGACAGCATGGTACGCTCCCAAATGGCAGTTTTATTATTATATTATCATTCCTTCTATACGTAGGCAGTCTCTAAATCGCAAATAGAAACTTCGCTTTTAAATCGCTGACTTGGAATAAATTTTACCATGAAAAGCAGTTATCTAATTCTGTTTTCCTCTCGCCTGAAAGTATGTACATAAACCTCAGGCCTGAATTGTGACCCTCTTCCTGAAACGGACGTAGGAGAAACAGAGAGGCAAAGGGTAGTTATTTATTTGTTCCAAGTTTTATATATGAAGGCTTTACCACAGAACCAGTTCAACTCAGAAACAATGTTTATATGGTCTTACAATCCAAAGAGTGCCTGGAATTTTTTTATTAATATAAAAGTTACTGAGCTATAATATGAAATTAGAATACTTGGCCCTGGATAAGAAAACAACAAATGAAAGAAAAAGTTTCTCTTTCCTGATACAGAAATGTCTCTAGGAAATTAGTGTTTTGGTTTAATGCAGTTTTCCTTTCCTGCAGTTTTTCTACTAGTGAATCATGGTAAAAAGGCAGTTTGGGCCCAAAAATCTGCCCCCATGGCCAGATCTCCTGATCTTCACAGCTACTTCTCATCTACCACTTCTGAACCTGCTTATTCTCCAAAAATTTAGTGTTTTCACAATTTTTATAGGGTTTTTAGAAACCATTTATAACCAGAGATTACCTAATAATACACATAGTTTTAATATTACTTATTCCACACATATTTATAGGAAGTTTATTATGCTAGAATGCATTGTGCCACGTGCTTGCTGAACAAACAGTCTCAGCCTCATTGAGTAAGAAAGACAGCCATAAGCAACAACAATATAGCATTAGTGTTACACTGGGGAGTACTAAATGCTATAAGAATACATAGAAGGAACACCTCTTTGGAACTTGTGTTATCAGGAAAGTCTTCCCAGAGGAAATGGAATATATGAATAGGAGACAGCAGAGCACAGGGAAAGGAGAGAGGGACACATTTCATACAGCATTTGTGAAGGTCCAGAGATGAGAGCATAGCATTTTGAAGAAATGGAAAGAAATTTAGTATGTCTGGAACAAAGATGGCAGATTAAGGAAGAATCAAGAAATGAAACTGAAGAAATATCCTAGGGCAAGATTATAAAGAAATTTGTTTTAAAAGTTTTTGGATTTTTGCTTAAGAGAAGTGGAAAATTTTTAAGCAAAATAGTAACATAATCAAATTTACTTTTTAATAAAAAAAAAAAGATCACTTTTGGCTTTACAGGGAGGACTGGATTATAGGCAAGAAAGCAAGTTAATCAGGAGTTGGCCAGAGGAAAGGGATAACAGTGACCTGGATTAACAGTAGCAGTGGGAAATGGGGAAAAACTGCTAAGATTTTTAGAGTGATTTAGGAGGTAGAATAAATGAGACTTAGTGAATAATTGGAACGAATGAGAAGGTGGAAGTGTTTAAGGCTCCCAAGTTTGTGATTTGAGCATCTGGGTGGGTGATGAAGCCAAATAAACACTTGGATATATGTGTCTGAAGCTCACCCAGACACAGGAAGAAAACCAGCTGATGATATCACTGAAATGCATTAGAATGTCTAAGAAGGGGATGCAGCAGTCACATGTCAACTTGTTTGAAAATGAAGTTTGTCAGATATCTTTACATTTTACAAACATTAAAATAGTATAAGAAATAAAACTTTGTGACAGAGTTAAGTTGGGTAGCAACATCCAGAAGTGATGGGTGAGCATTTTGGAGAGTTCAACAATTCTGATTAAATGGCTTTGGTCATTTAATATATACCAGATAGGATGGAAATTGGAAAGAAAGAAAGAATGAAAGGAAGGAAGGAATGAGGGAAGGAAGGAGGAAATGTGGGCAGGGAGAGGAGAGTGGAGAGGAGAGAAGGAAAGGTGGGAGGGGGAAACTCCCTGCTCAGATACTTAGTTCGAGAAAACATGCCTTCCCAGAGAAGGACGAGAATATTCAATCCTCTGTGCCAGGCATAGCAATTTAATCAGAACCTTCTCAACACTACACTGAAGCACACACCTTTAACTGACTGGTGTCATACCACAGGAGGCTTTAAAACTTATTTGCCATCCCTCCTCTTGACACAAATTCCAGAAATAATGGGGTATTCCCCAAAGTTTAATGATTGCTCTTAACATACGCTAAAAAGCTGAATCCTAGCGGCCTTTTCCGGGCACGTTCTGTCTCACCATGCTTCTCCTTGCTTCAGCAAATGCCTTCTGTTCTTCCTCTCTTCTCCTTCTGGCTTCTGCTGCTGCTTTCCTTTTTTCATCTTCTCTCCTTTGTCTTTCTATTTCTTCAAAACTGAGTTTGAGTTTACCAGGGCGGTTCCCTTTAAAAATTTTTTCTGTGTCTTGGTTTTCCTCCTCCTCATTTACCTAACCAAGAGACAACTCATTACTAAGAATTGAGATTCATCAAAGACAGGAATGAATTACTAATCAAAAGGCACCAGTCAGCCACCTCATACAGGAATGTTTCTTTGCCCTTAATATACTTGACCAAAATCGCCTTCCTTTATAACGTCTTATATGATAAAATATTCAAATTTGGAGAAATTCTAAATGAAGATGTACTTAAGTGAAATAAAACTTCTGAAGCAAGTCAAATTTTTAAATAAGATGGAGTGTTTAAAAATTTATTTTTGAGGAAGATTGGCCCTGCGCTGACATCTGTTGCCAATCTTCCTCTTTTTCTTTTTTTTCTTCCCAAAGCCCCAGAAAATAGTTGTGTATTATAGTTGTAGAGTTGTAGCTCTTCTATGTGGGACACTGCCTCAGCATGGCTTGATGAGCGGTGAGTAGGTCCGTGCCCAGGATCCGAACCAGTGAACCCCAGGCCGCCAAAGCGGAACATGGGAACTTAACTGCTACACCACCAGACCAGCCTCTAAAAATTTTTAAGGAGTCATTTAAGAGTTCTATTAAACATTAACTCTCCCAGAACAAACATAAAATATGTGTGTGTGTGTACTTAAATTGAGGTTCAAGTATACCTAAACAGAGTCTCTCTGGTAGTAAAATAAAAGTTCTCGTTTTATAATTTTCATGGAATTTTTACTGTGAACTATGGTACTTATACTAATCAGATAAAAGATTATTATCTGGAACTCTCTTATATATAAAATCCAAATTTTATGATTTTTATAACTAAAATTCTAATTTAATATTAATGAAATACTCATTGAAATTTATTATTTGATTAGTTAATATTTATCTTTTCATTAAATTGACCCCCAGTGATATCTAAAATATGTAGGTATTATGCAACTATAATTACCTAAAAGTAATAACATTTTCAAACAAATATCTAGAAAATTAAAATTTTGGAGATACAGAGTCACATCAGCATCATGGTGGAGTGAGCTTTCCCCCTTAAACTCTCTCCCCCCTAAGATACAACAAAAAGGAAATTCAAATACCAACAGAAGACATTCACACAACACAAAAGACATCTGAGAGACCCACACAGCACTACATCTGACGGTGGAGCTGCTGGAACCCCTGGAGGAAGTGGAAGGAGGTAGGGAGAACTCCTCTCCTTCCTCAATGACAGCAATCCTGGGATTGGGACTGTGCAACTCTCAGAGGGGGGCAGGGCGGCCCTCTGTGGGAAAACTGTTGCTCTCCAAGTTCTCTCACAGCTTGTGGGAAATTCCAATATGGAGGGGACTGAACTATTGCGGGGGTGTCTTCATCAAGCTAGCACCCCAGGAGAGCAGATAGCAAGGGAAGAGCGAGAAGACCCCAGGATCGAGTAGGTGAAAGAAAGAACCCCTCCTCCTGCCCAGAGCACCAGCACAGCCAGTTGGCCAGAGGGCCCATGGATTGCAGTGGGCTCAGAATACACAGCTCTTGACCCCCATGCAGTGGTGGCAGGTAGAAGCTGCGGCCAGATACTTTCAGAATGAGGAAAAATAAGCCCATGTCCTCAAGCAGTATGCAAAAATATATTAAATATCCAGACCAGAAGGAAAATGACAAGCACCCAGAAACCAATCCTGAAGGCATAGAAATTTATAACCTAAACGACAGAGAATTCAAAATAGCTATCATAAAAAAGCTCAACGAATTACAAGAAAATAGACAATTCAATGAAATCGGGAACTTCTTCACAAAAGAGATTGAAACGATAAAGAAAAACCAATCAGAAATGTTGGAGATGAAAAACACAATGGAGGAGATAAAGAAAAATCTGGACACTTTAAAGAACAGAGCTGACAATATGGAGGAAAGAATTAGCAATATTGAGGATAGGAATGCAGAAATGTTCCAAATGGAGGAGGAGAGAGAACTAAGACTAAAAAGAAATGAAGAAATTTTCCAAGAAATATATGACTCAATTAGGAAATGCAACATAAGGATTATAGGTATTCCAGAAGGAGAAGAGAAGGAGAAAGGAGCAGCGAGCTTTTTCAAAGAAATAATAGCTGAGAACTTCCCAAACCTGGGGAAGGAGCTGGAAATACAAGTGAATCAAGTCAGTAGATCTCCTGGGCCGGCCCTGTGGCTTGGTGGTTAAGTGCGCGCGCTGCAATGCTGGTGGCCCGGGTTCGGATCCCGGGTGCGCATCGAGGCACCACTTCTCCCTCCATCCTGAGGCCGAGTCCCACATACAGCAACTAGAAGGATGTGCAGCTATGACATACGACTATCTACTGGGGCTTTGGGGGGAAAAAATAAAATAAATAAAATCTTTAAAAAAAAAAAAAAATAGATCTCCTAAATATATCAACATGAAAGGACTCTCTCCAAGGCATATAGTAGTAAAGCTAGCAAAAGTAAATGATAAAGAAAAACATTATGGGCAGCAAGACAAAAATAAATTAATTTACAAAGGAATTCCTATCAGGCTCTCAGCCCATTTCTTGGCAGAAACTTTACAAGCTAGGAGAAAGTGGAATGATATATTCAAAATTCTGAAAGACAAAAACTTTCAGCCAAGAATAATCTATCCAGTGAAAATATCCTTCAGATATGACAGAGAAGTAACAACTATCCCAGATAAACAAAAGCTAAGGGAGTTCATTGCCACAAGACCTCCACTACAACACATGCTCAAGAAGGCCGCATGCCTGAAGAAAGGGGATACAAAGCTTTGAGCAAGTAGAAAAATAGGTAGACAAAATCAGAAAAATTGCAGCTGTCTATCAGAATAGGTTAGCAAACACTTAATTATAACATCAAAGATTAAGAGAAGGAAAACACCAAAAATAAATATAACCTCATCACTTTAAACACAAACTCACAACACAAGATAGTATAAGTTGTGACAATAATAACTTAGAAGGGGAAGAGGAATGGGATGGAATCGACTTAGTCTAAGGAAATAAGAGGCCATCAGAAAATGGACTATCTCATCTATGAGATTTTTTATACAAACCTCATGGTAACCACTAAACAAATAATCAGAACAGAGACACATACGATAAACAAAGAGAAAACTAAGAAAACCATCATACAGAACTACCAAACTGAATTGGTAGTCTAAAGACACAGGATGAGAAACAAAAGAAATGCAAAAGAACTGGAAAATGAGTGATAAAATAGCAACATTAAGCCCTCATATAACAATAATCACTCTAAATGTAAATGGCTTGAATTCTCCAAGCCATCCCGACACAGAGTGGCGGGATGGATTAAAAAACAAGATCCAACAATATGCTGCCTCCAGGAAACACATTTCTGCTCTAAAGACAAACACAGGCTCAGAGTGAAAGGATGGAAGACAATACTCCAAGCTAATGGCAAACAAAAGAGAGCAGGTGTTGCCATACTTATATCAGACAAAGTAGACTTCAAGATAAAACAGGTAATGAGAGACAAAGAGGGGCAATATATAATGATAAAAGGGAGACGTATCCAAGAAGATGTATCACTTATAAATATATATGTACCCAACACAGGAGCACCAAAGTATATAAAGCAACTATTAACAAACCTAAAAGGAGATATTAACAACAACACAATAATAGTAGGGGATCTTAACACCCCACTTACATCAATGGATAGATCATACAGACAGAAAGTCAATAAGGAAATAGTGGACTTAAACAAGAAACTAGACAAGATGGACTTAATAGATATAGAGGGAGCACTCCATCCAAACACAGCAGATTACACATTCTTCTTAAGCACGCATGGAACATTCTCAAGGATAGGCTATATGTTGGGAAACAAGGCAAGCCTTGATAAACTTAAGAAGATTTAAATCATAACAAGCATCTTTTCCAACCATAATGCTATGAAACTATAAATCACCTACAAGAAAAAAACTGGGAAAGTGACAAAGATGTGGAGACTAAACAACATGCTACTGAACAACCAATGGATCACTGAAGAAATTAAAGGAGAAATCAAAAATATCTGGAGACAAATGAAAATAAAAATACACCGTCCCAACTCATATGGGATGCAGCAAAAGCAGTCCTGAGAGGGAAACTCATAGCAATACAGGCCCACCTTAACAAACAGGAAAAAGCCCAAATAAGCAACCTTAAACTACACCTAGCAGAATTAGAAAAAGAAGAACAAATAAAGCCCAAAGTCAGCAGAAGGAGGGAAATAATAAAAGTTAGAGCAGAAATAAATGAAATAGAAACCCAAAAAACAATAGAAAGGATCAATGGAAGAAAGAGCTGGTTCTTTGAGAAGATAAACAAAATTGACAAACCCTTAGCCAGACTCACTAAGAATAAAAGAGAGAAGGCTCAAATAAATAAAATTAGAAATGAAAGAGGAGAAATTACAACAGATACTGCAGAAATACAAAAGATTATAAGAGAATACTATGAAAAACTATATGCCAACAAATTGGACAGTCTATAAAAAATGGATAAATTCTTAGACTCATACAACTTCCCAAGACTGAATCAAGAAGACATAGAGAATCTGAATAGACCAATCACAAGTAAAGAGATTGAAACAGTAATCAAAAATCTCCCCAAAAATAAAAGTCCAGGACCAGATGGCTTCTCTGGAGAATTTTACCAAATATTCAAAGAAGATTTAATACCCATCCTTCTCAAACTATTCCAAAAAATAGAGGAACATGGAACACTTCCTAACACATTCTACCAGGCCAACATCACCTTGATATCAAAGCCAGACAAGGACAATACAAAGAAGGAAAATTACAGGCCAACATCATTGACGAACACAGATGCAAAAATACTCAACAAAATATTGGCAAACCAAATACAGCAATAAGTTAAAAAGATCATACACCATGATCAAGTGGGATTCATGCCAGGGACACGGGGATGGTTCAACATCCACAAATCAATCAGTGTGATAGACACATTAACAAAATGAGGAATAAAAACCACATGATCATCTCAATAGGCGCGGAGAAAGCATTTGACAAGATCCAATATCCAATTATGATAAAAGCTCTCAATAAAATGGGTATAGAAGGAAAGTACCTCAACATAATAATGGCCATATTCGACAAACCCACAGCCAACATCATACTCAACGGGGAAAAAGTGAAACCCATCCCTCTGAGAACAGGAACAGGACAAGGGTGCCCACTCTTGCCACTCATATTCAACATGGTACTGGAGGTTTTTGCCAGAGCAATTAGTCAAGAAAAAGGAATAAAAGGATTCCAAATAGGCAATGAAGAAGTGAAACTCTCACTGTTTCCAGACGACATGATTTTATATATAGAAAACCCTAAAGAATCCATCAGAAAACTATCAGAAATAATCAACAACTACAGCAAGTTGCAGGGTACAAAATCAACTTACAAAAATCAGTTGTATTTCTATACTCTACCGACAAACTTAACAGAAAGAGAACTCCACAATACAATCCCATTTACAATCACAACAAAAAGAATAAAATATCTAGGAATAAATTTAACCAAGGAGGTGAAAGATGTATACAATGAAAACTATAAGACATTACTGAAAGAAATCAATGATGACATAAAGAAATGGAAAGATATCCCATGCACATGGATTGGAAGAATAAACATAGTTAAAATGTCCATACTACCTAAAGTAATCTACAGATTCAATGCAATCTCAATCAGAATCCCAAGACATTCTTGATGGAAATAGAGCAAAGAATCCTAAAATTTATATGGGGCAAGAAATGACCCCAAATAGCTAAGGCAATCCTGAGAAAAAAGAATGAAGCTGGAGGCATCACAATCCCTGACTTAAAAATATACTACAAAGCTAGAGTAATCAAAGCAGCATGGTACTGGTACAAAAACAGACACACAGATCAATGGGACAGAACTGAAAGCCCAGAAACAAAACCACACATCTACGGGCAGCTAATCTTCGACAATGCAGCTAAGAACATACAATGGAGACAGGAAAGTCTCTTCAATAAATGGTGCTGGGAAAACTGGACAGCCACATGCAAAAGAATTAAAGTAGACCATTGTCTTTCACCATACACAAAAATTAACTCAAAGTGGAT